GAGAATTAAATATCCCTTATTTTTCTATAGGGCTCTGCTCTGTGAACCGCCCTGAAACCCCAGGGTATAGGGCAGTATATAAATTCAAGTAGTAATAATTATTAATTAAATAAATAATACTCAAGACTGTAGCCTTTCAAAGAAAAGAAAAGAAAACAAAAAACTTTCAAAGGAAAAAAAACCCTAGGGAAATCTCCCCACAACTGCAAGCAACACATAGTGTGGCCATAAGAAGTATACAGTGCACATTGTGGGAATGTTCAGGGAGGCAGGAGAGGATATATTATTAATATCCTTCCTAACTTGTGTTAGCAAGTTCCTTGACTTAGCAGAGTTTACATTCCCCCTTTAACGCACAGCAGGCTTGTGTAAGCCTCTCACTATCATACAGTTCAGTATTGAATTGTATGTTCCTGGTAAGTTCCCTTTTAACTCTCTTAAAAAGAATAAAGACACGACAATCTTATTTAAAGTCAATAAAAGAAGTTTACTTATTTCAGTTCACAGTTGGATCCCTGAAGGCCAACTGTGTTACATTAGTTACAAATATATACATGTGGATCTACCCCATATGTATGGGGGAATCATCCCAGTGACTGCAAGCTAACAGTCACTGCAGTTCACACGATGAAAGGAAGATGAAAAAAGAGAAAGTGTGGCAGCATGGCTTGTCCTTTTATTACCTGCACAGGTAAGGTCACACCCACTGTTAGTCACATGCAAAAGGAAGGATGTTCCAGCCCAGGAGGAAACAGGAAGTTTTCGACTGGCTGGACCCAACATCCACTATAGGAAAACAAGGAATGTTGTACAGTACTTGACTGCTCCCAGTGGATTACATCCCACATCTCCCTCCAAAAAAGCTAATCAGACTTGCAACATACCAGTAAATGGCTCGTGCATCCTAATTGTTAGTTAGGTCATTAGGAGATCTATTGGTGTTAAGCCATAGTACTTCACATGTTGATAAAAATGATCTTTCTGTGAATTGGAGGTTTGGGTGGTTAAAGATACATGCAGGGTTTAGCTAAGATTTTTATCCTTATATATATATATATATTTCTTAGCTAATGCATTTAAGGACTTATGGGGAACTCTGCCTTTTCCTCCTTTCCCCCTTGCCTAGGTGATCTTTGCTTTGAATCAGACTCTTTTGCAGCAAGAGAATCTCCGAGCAGGCAGCCTGCAGATCCCTTATACAACAGAGGACCTTATCAAGCATTACAACTGTGGGGACCTCAACTCCATCATCTTCAATCATGACACTTCTCAAGTGAGTCTTGCCCCCGTCCCCTCATGCTTCACACATAACTGTTGACCGGCCTCTCCTGCTAGCTAGCCTGTATTCCCAACAAATAAGAGTATTTATAAGGAATCCTTTTTGCAATTTTAAGTGGTGTGGATTTTTTGTCTGTTTGTATTGCAGTCCACAATTCTCCTTCTACAAGTGTCTTTGCTGCTGTTTCATGATAGCTTGCCTCTGATCTGTTAAGCAGACAAGATGGAGGGATGGTGATAATAATGAGGGCACGGAATGTTTTTTGTTGTTGTATGAAAATAAAATTGACACCTTTGGTCAGTTTGGTACTTGGGGTTAATACTGGCTTTTCTTTGACCCACTTGTATCAAAAAACCATTTGGAAGGGTAAGGTGAAGTTAGGGGACGGATATAAGTTCCAAAATGGTGTGGGTGTGTGGGTGTTAGCTTCTACATTCTTGCCAGCTGAAACCATTTCAAGAAGATGGAGACCAGTCCACTGTCATTCATGCTTCGGCCATGTCAAGATCTTGAACTACTCTCATGTGCTCGGTGTGGGGCTCCCTTTGAAAGTGGTCTAATAGATCCATCTATTACAAAAACTACTACTCATCAAACAGGCATGGCTCAATATGAACATTCCATGTGCTTTGATATTTGCACTAGTTATACCAGTATGATTCCAGGACCAATCCAAAGTGCTAATTTTGTTCTATTGAAGCCTTCTGTGTCCTGAACATAGCTGTCAACGGTTCCCTTTTTTTAAGGGAAATTCCCTTATTCCGAATAGGATTCCTCGCAAGAAAAGGGAAAAGTTGACATCTATGGTCCTGAATATCCTGAGGAATGCCCTTCCCTCCCATATGCTCTCTCAGTCCCTGAGCCTCTGCTCCAAGTGCCATCTTTTTGAGAACTGAGATTGTTCAGAACCTTTTATTTGATTGTGGCTTGAGAGCAGTGGAATGCTTTCCTCCCAAGTGGTTCAGTTATGTGCCTCTTTACGTCTCTCTTTGGAGACATGTAAAAAGTCTGTTCCCTTGGCTTCCAAGAGTGAAGTGGACTATGTTTTTTTTGACTGTCTCTTTCTGGCTTTGTTTTAAAATGGTTTTATTTTGTTTTGAAAGGCATGAATGTCCTATAAATAGCTGAGAGCCTTTGATTAGCTGATGATGATTCAACATGCCAGCTGGTGGCATGGTTAGATATCTTGGTGTTTGTCAGCGGTTTTGCCCCTGTGGGGCATTGTAGAGGTAGATGGCGGGAGTTTAGCCCAGCTCAGGCCAAATGAATAAAAACCATAGCATTCAAGGAAGCATTCTTGGACCAATAGACAAGACTGCATCAGCTGATACTACATGACCCCTGTTGCACTTTTTTGCTAGTCTGAGCATCAAATGGACTTAGTCTTGTCACCCAAAATTTCTCTTGTATTTTCTCTACTACTCTTGATTGCACAGGAGCCAATTTGACAATATAGCTTCCCCCCCAAGTTCTGTTAATTTTTTAATTTTAAAATTAAATTTGCGGACTAGCAAATTTGAATCTGCCCAATTAAAACCTCCCCAATTAATAAAATCCAAAGTTTTCTCTATGTATTCTGTTATGTTCTGCTTGCTTCTATGGAATTTGTCATAGCAGCCACAGTGTAATAAAGATAATATTCAGAAATGAGCAATTGGGTGCTGGCAAAGCGATGGATAGGTCAAAGGCAGTTTGATTTATGCCTTGACTGGCTGTCTCTGGTTGCTAATGGAAAGTCCCAATATGCTGATAAGCGATGCAGTACAGTTTAAACGCCTTCTCCCATGTGTCTTCGTATAGATAATTTCCAGTCTTGCATTTTAGAGCCACCTAGCCCTGGGAAGAGCTGGCAACAGCAGGCAAATCCTGAATGTGGCTGGATGAAAGCACACAGCCAATGCAAGTCTTACTTCCTTCTGCTTGAATTGCAAAGAGGGAGCTCTCCAGTGGCAGCAATCAGTGTGTAAACCTCACCTTTTAGGTCCGCTTCTTTCTTGTGCCAGAGCCTTGCATCCTGTGCATTCTCTTTCTTTCTTTAATGCTGTTTTTATCCTGCCCGTCTTTGCTTAGGGAAAATCCACCAACCCTTACAAGGAGCAGACCCAGCGACCTATGAAAAAATGCAAGGGTTGGTTGATTTGCCTGTTAGTTATTGGGTATGGGAGTACAGTGGTATATTGTTATATGTAGACCGTCTTGCAATACAGAAGCAACTGTTTGTTAGAAGCACCTACCATTGCAGCATTATAAGGCGCTGTGGTCTAAACCACTGAGACTAGGGCTTGCCGATCGGGGTGAGCTCCCGTTGCTTGATCCCAGCTTCTGTCAACCTAGCAGTTCGAAAGCACACCAGTGCAAGTAGATAAATAGGTACCACTGTGGCGGGAAGGTAAATAGCGTTTCCATGCGCTGCTCTGGTTTCGCCAGAAGCGGCTTAGTCATGCTGGCCACATGACCCAGAAAAACTGTCTGCGGACAAACGTCGGCTCCCTCAGCCAGTAAAGCGAGATGAGCTCCACAACCCCAGAGTCGTTCATGATTGGACTTAACTGTCAGAGGTCCTTTACCTTTACTTTTTTAAGCTATAGAGCAGATGAGAGAGGACAACCTGTGCTATGTCTATGGCTCACTTAGACAACTGACAGTGTGCTAATTCTAACCTCCCAAACCCTACACAACCTATGCTGGATGTGCCATGTGGAATGCCTTGTTCAGGGAGCTGCTGTTCTCCTTTTTTTCGGAAGAAAGAGCTGTTAGAGCCTTATGTGTCTTGGCACCCTTTGCAATGGATCATGCTCTTCAGGGAAGTCTTGTTATGTTTAAGGGACTAGGTAGATGTTTCTGACCCACATCCATTCTATAATTATATTCAGTGCCCACTTGCAGTGGTGACCAGTAAACCAGAACAGGTACGAGGAAAGGTTGAAGGTGATGACATTACATCATGTAATTTCCTTGCTTAAAAATATCTGGAGAGGCACAGGTTAGCCACAGCCTTATGCTCCTGTAACATCTAGTTGGGCTCTACTATTCGAGTTTTATTTGCATTCCCTTTCCCTTTTAATTTGTACTTCTCCCTTTCTCACACAGGTCCCAAATTTCATCAATTCCACTCTGCCACCTCACGAACGCATCACGGCTCAGGAGATTGACAACTACTTCCGCCAGGAGCTCATCTACAAGCGGAATGAGAGGATGGGCAAGAGAGTTAAAGATCTACTGGAGGAGTATCCGGACAAAAGTTTCTTCTTTGCATTTGGAGCAGGTACGTTTTGCTTGCTGCTTGCTGTTGTTTTTAAAGGTCAAATAGCAGTCACATTGGCCTGGGTTGTTCTTCTTGATCAAGCATAGGCAAACTCGGTCCTCCAGATGTTTTGAGACTACAATTCCCATCATCCCTGACCACTGGTCCTGTTAGCTAGGGATGGTGGGAGTTGTAGTCCCAAAACATCTGGAAGGCTGAATTTGCCTATGCCTGTTCTTGATGCTGCTCAGACACAATATTTTTGTAACGCTATGTGCTGAACCATTGGGACTTCCATTCAGAATGGCAGTCCTTTCTAGCCACGGGAGATGAATTACATATCTGAAGTTTCAGCAAAAGCACACCCTTACCATCTAGACCTTTGTCTAACTGTAAAGGTGAAAGAAAGCAGGCATGGGGAAGTGGAATCATAGAACTGTAGAGTTGGAAGGGACCAGGAGAGTCATCTAGGATATTTTTCCCAACATGGGGCTCGAACCTACAACCCCAAGATTAAGAGTCTTATGCTCTACCGACTGAGCTACTCTCGAGCACAAGGTGTCATTGTAAGGCTGAGTGAATGGTAGTAGCGTCAGTAAGTGTCAACAATTTCAAGGAATGCTTTTATTGTTAGAGAAATATTGTTAGAGGATGTATACATGGAAAAACCAATTTAAAAATATTTTTTAAAAATGCTTTTAGACTGTGTTCTTAGAACAAGGTGTAACAAGAGCTGGAGCCAGGAGGGCAAGGCTGCAGTTGCTCAGTAGCAAAGGAAATTCACACTAAGTTTGGGTGTACTTTTCAAATTTCATTTTTCTGTCTTTTTTTTAAAGGGGACACAGATGTATCGAAGTAAATGCAGATAGAAAAATCTAGGAGGCAGTTGTAATCATAATCAGCACCTAAGCACTGAATAATACATCTGTGTCTGCTTTAAGAGTAGATTATTTCCCACTGGTGTGACTCACCATAAGAATCAAAAGTTTTGGATTGTTTATAGCTTTGGAGTTGTTCTACATTATTTTAAACATCAAATTAACCAATTAGTTAATTAACCTTTGTAACCCCATTGTTATACGTAATAGACATATGCCCCTTGTTCTTGTAACTGCAAATTATAAATAATCCTCACTTAGGTAAGGAAAGAGAGAATACAAGGAAACATGCCTTGTTCGTTCTGTTTTTACAAAATTTATTTGTTTTCCGAAAAAAGATAAAATTTAACAAAGAATTGGCAACAACGAAACAACACAAGTAGTGAACTACTAACAAAAAATGAAGATCTAAACTCTTTACAGATGGAGGAAGGGTTTTACTATCTGACAGAAAGTGTCATATTTTGTCATATTTTGTCCTTACCCACATAGCTACCACGTACAGGTCTGATGGGGAGATTATAAAGATGTGATTTTGGGGATCTACTGGGTAGACACTATACTTGTTCCCTGTTTCTGGTGACTTCAGCCATCAAGAAGCAAATCTTTTCTTTTTGCATAGCACCATCCACAGTTTTACTTGTACCAAAAACGTACCCCTCTTCTGGATGTTGGAAATACAACTATTCTGTTCTTTTGGCTAACTGTGTGCTTCAAATCTTGAAGTCATTGCTTCATATCCAGCTTTTTCTTCTGATGCAAATGGACTAAGACAAGACATTTCTCCCTTCTTAGCAGTGTACGGAACCATTATTTTCCATGTAGCTGTCTAGCCATTGCTGCGGCTTGCTATTTATAAACCATCTAATAGTTGTTCAAATCTTTTCCAGTCTGGAAAAGAGTATTAAATAAATGTGTGGAGAACTTTAAAATGATTTGTTCTTGTTTTTGTTTTGTTCTTTCTTTCTTTTTTCTTGCTGTCATGATTATAATGCCTTTGATAGCTTTTCGTTCCCTGTTTGGTGTTGAATCTCTATCGTGTGTGCAAATTACCAGATGCCAAGATGAGTCAACTCAACGATTTATTACACTTGTATGTGGTTTAGTGGATATCTTGCATGTCTAGTATTCTAACTGCCAACTTGTTCTCGCTATGTGAAGTTTCCATGAGAAGCTTTTCTAATTCCACAGTACCAGCAAAATGCATGTGGGTGTTACTCTATTTTTAGTGAATATCCTGAAGGGTCCAGTAAGATTTTAGCACGATCCATGAACGGTTATTATTAGTATGGTGGTGGTGGTAGTAGTAGTAGTAGTAGTAGTAGTAGTAGTAAATAGTATCTGATTAATCCTTCAAAGAGGCTCATCTAATTCATCTTCTATCTAGAGGCTCAGCTAGTTCTTCAGGGGCTTGTTACTGCATTTCTGACCCATAGGGACTTCCTTTCTCCTCTTCAAACCAGCAGATCTCCTGGAGGCCTTATTGCTCCTATCCTCATTAGAACGAATGATTATGGCACCTGCCTTGTGAAGTATGCTACCTCTTATAAAGCCTCCAGGCAGGGGCAAAAGTAGACTTTATTTCACCCGGGTCAAAGACCCAGTTTAGCACCCCTCCACATGCATTAGCGTACACACACACACACAGAGAGAGGCTGGGTTCCTCAGTGGTGCCCCTCTGGACGCTTCCCCCTGGCTAGCCCCCCAACCCCATAGCTATGGCTCTGCCTCCAGTCATTCTTGTACATTTTTGGTAGCGGGCGCGGGGGAAGTGTTTTTATTCATTTGAAAAGCAATGCAAGAAATTGATTTCAGTTCGATTTAAATATATATTTGGTTTTAAACGTTTTTGTTTATAACCTTAAGTGGTCTTCATTCTTGATGGCATTATATGTTGCTTCAGGTATTTTACAGAGACATGATAAACAAGCATTGCATTTATTTATTTTTAAAACAACAACCACTAAAGGCCTAGAAGACCAAGACTCGCAGGATCGAGGCAGTTGGTTTAACCGTATTACTGACATTAAGGCCTAACAAGGCATGGTGCTATGCTAAGAGCTGTGATTGCAGGAGGTTTTGTTTGTTATTTTGGTTGAAAAATGTTTACATGCCAGGGAGATTCAGAATAATACAGTTGCTTATTTTTTACATAATTGCTATTGGTTTGTGTACACTGTATTTATTACAAACCTGTGTTACTTTACATGGGTAGGCATTTCCTTTTGTTTATCGAAGTTTGCTTTGTAATGGTCTGATGACTGGAGACAAATAAACTAACCTGAATCTAATTGTTAACAGGTGCTGCAGGGTGTTCCAGTTTTCATCAGGTTAAGTGGGGGTGGGTTATTAACAATGTAAAAAAATAAAAATGCCACAGCATCCAAAGTGCCATATTTATCATCACATCTAGCTTGGCAGTGAGCAACGAAGCTTTGGGTGGGTTTTACATAGGGTGGGTTTTGCTCCATGTCTCCGAGATGAATTTATAGATGCTGATGAATCTCACTGTTCATCTTCTGATTCTCCTTTCTCACATTTCCCTTTCCTTATCTGTGCTCATTTTCTTTCTGGTTCCTTCTCTCTCTTTCTCTTTTTTATTACATAGCGATCGTATGCATGTGCGTAATCAAAAGTAAGACATAGTGGAGCGTACTTCAGTCCCTGGTAAATGTCCGTAGGATTCAGTAGCTAGAGGAAAATTTCCTAGGGGCTAATTCTATTGCTGTAGAATAATTACAGGAAAGGATATTGTTTAATTAAGCAGTTAATATGAAGAAGGTAGAAAGGAACCACTTCCCCAGTAATTTAAAGGTCTTAGTTGCATGCTATCTTTTTATGGTGGCTGTCATTACTGATGCTGTTGTATGAGCAGCAAGTATAGGACTTGTTTCTGGGTGCAATTCAAAGTGCTGGTATCAAAAGGTTGTATGGTTTGGGCCTAGGAATGTGGGATGTGGGACAGGGCCTTTTCAGTCATGGCACCTAAATTCTGTAGCTAATTACCTTGACTGGGCAGAGTTCTTCTTCACCTAGCCTTTTAGCTGATTTAAGGCCCCATCCCGCTGCTGTTTTTAGTTGGTTGTGGGTTTGAGGTCTTGGCTTGCTTTTATGAATTCTATTGTATTACGTTTCAAGTTCTGATTAGGAGTTGCCACATGGGGCCAACAAGCAGGATACATATATCAGTCCCCCAATGCTGTGTGAACTGGCCTTGTGCATCCAGTTCGAGGACATACCTGGACTGTGAACTGCAAAATGTTGCATCAGAATCAATCATTGGTGAGGTCAGGCTTAAAACTGATTAGATGGAGCGTGCTGTGCCAGTTTGCATATTGCTGTGTTCTTCAGGACTCTAGTGAGGAACCTCAACTCAAACACAGTCTAAATTCCCCGACTTTTCCCAGAATACACAGTGCACTGGTTTTCAACCAGTGTGCCGTGGCACCCTGGGGTTACTCAAATGATGCTCTGGGGTGCCGCGGGCAACACTGGCCTCTGTCCCTCTTTCCTTCCCTCCCTTCTCTGATGCCTACTTGCATCTCTGCCTCCCAAAGTCTTGCACAGCTGTTCGTTGCAGCAGCCCAGGCTACAAGCTCCGCAGGCGAATGGTGTCTCTGGGGCTGGCCGGGGGGAGCTGGTTGCCAGTAGCTGAGGAGTAGGCAAGCAAGCAGGCGATGGAGCCCAGCCAGCCAGCCCACAAGCCCTTGCTGTTGGGAATGGATGGACAAGTCCTAGGCCCATATGGGGCAGTGTGAGGAGGCACCTCTCTTTGGGGCAGGGAGGGCAGCTCAGAGACCAGGGGTGGCAGGAGAGGAGGCTGAAGGAACACTGCACAAGGAATGGTGTTTGAAAAAGGGTGAGAGGCTACCAGCTCTGCAGGCAAGGGTGACGTAATGGGGCTCCTGAGCCCCACAGGGGTGCCGCATAAAGAATGTACAGTGGACGCTCGGGTTGCGAACGTGATCCATGCGGGAGGCACGTTCGCAACCTGCAGCGCCGCAATTCGGCACTTCTGCGCATGCGCGACTGCTGAAACCCGGAAGTAACCTGTTCTGGTACTTCCGGGTTTCGGTGCGTCCATAACCCGAAAAAACACAACCTGATGCGTCTGTAACTTGAGGTATGATTGTAGTTGGTCAAGGGAGCCGTGGACTCAAAACCTCTGATGTAGTGCATAGGAAAGTTGTGCCACTTCCATCATGATCGAGTGGCGTGGAATAAGAGCTTGTCCATCTGCACAGACAGCAGAGTAAAGTGGTAAAACAAATGGACTGCAGGTAGGAGAAGCTCTTTCTGAATGCGCTTGCTTCCCTCTATGAGAAATACTAAACCAACCAACAAAAACAAGCATGAGAGAGGTCCTACTTCAGTTCATTTCCTCCAGGGAATTTTCAAAAATGTAACACATGCCCCCCCATCTAAAACTTGAAGTAAGACTTCCATTTTACACTGTTAAAACACAACCCCCGCCCCAGTATGTAACCAGGAGGAATGACAGTCTTAACTCCCCCCATCAATAGTATATACAGTCTTATCATGGGTTACAGACGCTTCAGGTTGCGGTTTTTCAGGTTGCGAACCGCCAAAACCTGGAAGTACCGTAACGGGTTACTTCCAGGTTTCGGCAGTCGCGCATGCGCAGAAGCGCTAAATTGCGCTTTGTGCAGACGCAG